TTTTTTTTTTGTGTATATGTTTCCATCACAAGAGGGAATATATATTTATATATGAAGTGAGATGATACTTCTTCACATTACAAAACAGAACATTGTTACAATCATATTACTCTTTCTATCTATCTTTCTTTCTTTTCTCTTACTTTCTTTTATTTTCTTTTCTTTATTTATCTATTTAAATATATATATATATATATATATATATATATAATTCAGACGTGAATGATAGAATCCAAGTATGACTACACTACTATCATCACTGCTCTCTCACAAACAGTGGTGTTTAAACAGACACAACATCCTCAATACTCGAAGGGACCTGTCGCCCTGAAAGTAACAGCCCCATCATCAATATCATCATCATTATCATTATCTACAGAGAGAAAAGAAAAAGAAACCGTAAAAGATAAGAAAGATACCACAATACCATCATCATCTTCATTATTATTATCTTCTTCCCTCATTTTACATGAGGCAGATATATATAAGCTTATTTGTCCTCATCCTTCCATTCCAGACTTTGTGGAATGTGAAGAAGATTACTTCGATACCTCACGTTTTCCAGATAAGAAATATCATTGCGGTATTCAAAAATTGCCTGTTCTCGTCACTCAATTTGTTAAAGCTGCTGCATTAAATCGTTTATTTTATTCCTTTTCTATTATGAAGTGGTCTGTGGCTTTGCAAATTATATATAAAGTGGCTCAAATACTTCAACATATACACAGTAAAGGTGTTGTCTATGGAGATCTTAAATTGCCAAATGTTCTCCTTGCTGGGGATGGGCATGTTTGGCTTGTAGACTTTGCCAGTGCGATGTTTATATGGGATCACCATAGTGATAATAATAATAGTAATAATAGTAATAATAGTAATAATAATAATAATAGTGATAATAATAGGGAAAAAGAAAAAAAAAGAATGATAACAAGAGAAGCATTAGCGCGTGGTATCACTTGGCATGTACGAGCACCTGAACTCTTTCCTTCTACCCATACCGAAAGTAATAATAATAATAATAATAATAATAATAATAATAATAATAATAATAATAATAATAATAATAATAGTTCAGATAGTGTTATTTTGCAATATCCATTGATGATTGATTTCTGGGCATTTGGAGCCTTTATTCTTGAACTTCTCTCAGGCCGTCCATATCTCCGTTCCTTTGATCAGAGTAGTGCCGCCCTAACAAGGAGGGAACTGCGTGAAGCCATATTGGATGGATTGAAACTTGTTAAGCAACGATATAGTGACAATATTAATAGTAATAATAATAATAATAATAATAATAATAATAATAATAATAAGAGTGATAATAAGAATGATAATAATAAGAGTGATAATAATAATAATGAGAATGAAATGTGGGAATCTTTAGAGAAATTACTTGTTGGACTTCTACAGTGTAATCCTAAAGAGAGACTTGGATTTCATGGTGGTTGGAATACTATTCTCCAGCATCGTTTCTTTGAATATACAATGTTTGAAAGAGATCAGCCGTTCCCTCTGGAGTATAGTGATGAGATCAGTGAGCTCATGTTAGGGCTTTAGCAATTGCTTTTCTTTTTTTTTCTTTTTTATTTATTTATTTTTTCCTTTATGCTTGGATTTTTTTTTTCTTTTTGCTATGTGTGTGTATTTCGTATACTTTGCAGATTGTATTAGTCTCTCATTATGTGGAAATGGAAATGGAAGAGGAA